ATTATTATTATTATTATTATTATTATTATTATTATTATTATTATTATTATTATTATTATTGATAATAATAACCAAATAATAATAATAATAATAACACAGCCAATTACGTCAATACTATTGATCATGAATCATCAAAAGTATGTGATAACTGAGACTTGCTACAGTGAAGAAACCTCCAATACAGCAGAAGTTATGAAAGCAGCATACAGAGGGGTTCTCTTCTTTGAATGATATGAGCATACCTGTAAGCTTCTGCCAGGCCATGTTCCAGCAAAATACAATTTGTTGACGACTGCAAGAAGGCCTGCAATGATCATCATCCATTGACTCCAACAAAGCAGGCTTATGCATGTGCCTGTGCTTTCAGGAGCACCTGTGCAATTGCAGCTTGTGAATGATTCAAGTTGGTGCCTGGCATTTTTTGACCCCTGCTATCACTGCAAGGCAAATCACGATCAGATATCTGCCAGTCTGCCAGTCTGAGCTTGACATCAACACAGAGGTGAAGACACCTTTGAAGAAAGAAAACACCAGGGCTGGTGACTGACTAATCAGAAGGAGAAAGCAACTGCCAAAGCACCTAGGAAGCGCAAGTAGATAGATCATGCATTACTGTAATGGAGTGCATTGTAAATAGTGCCTGCATCAAAGTGCATCCTAGTCGAAAGCGTGACGCGTGAGTGTATCCTGGTCAATATCGCATGCAGTGAGTGACGTTTGTAAAGCAGAGTCAGAGGGCTGGTCTTTGCCTTTCAATCCGATTTCATCCTGCCTAGCGGATCTACCGCGGACACACATCTGACTGAACCAGTAGACGCAGGCAAGATATGGCCGTGCTGAAAGGTGGACGATAGGAAGTATGAGACTGCGTCCACAAGCATAAATCGGATGACTTAGAGGGCACTTGCAAAGGCCACAAACTGTCTGCTGGACACGGTCGACAGGATTGAGTGGAAGTGATAAATACGAATGTGAATGCAAGTGGACGTACGACGGAGGTGGTGGACACGGAGGATCCGCTTCGTCTGATGGCACGGGATAAAATATTCGCCGATCTGCAGGAACACGTCAGGCGAGAATTGAGATGAAGAGGCCAGAAACGATGTATCGTCCACGAACGACGCACAGGCCCAACACGACAGCCGAGACCGCTTGCTGTGTGGTGCTGCACCTAATAACGTTCATAAGGACTCGTCAATAGAAAGTATGAGATCGACTCTATAATAAGCCGAATCAGGCGGCCCTGCTCGACGATCTATTAGGTGCTCAAATATAAGAGGATGAAGCACTCACCCAGGTGGGTTCATGCTCAGTAGGCTGCTCAGGTTTGGTCATCGTTCCGGGGGATATACTAGTCGCATGACCAATGTGACTACGTGAGCTAAGCATGGAAGTATGTGATGCGAGACTGCGTACGGTTCGTCGAGTTGTGAGGTTTGCGAAGACGATGTGGGCGCGTACGTAAGGGGTTTGGTGCACAGGACTACGTCGGTTCACAAATCGCGCTCGGGAATGGGCCATTCTGTTTTGTCTGTGCCTAGTGAATAGATCCGGGAAAAGATTGGGGGAGGCAGCGAGCGCCGAGTAGCGTGGTCGTGGGATTTGGCAGAATAGCAGTTTCAGTGTGAGGTTGGCGGCAGCATACTAACAGGAGTCTTCTCGCACTCGGGTAGGTGATCGACGCAATCACTTGGCGTCGAGAACCAGCGAGGAAGAGGAACGCCGCACGTTTGGTGCGCACCAGACAGAAGTATAAGCCAATGTCCAGAGATGAAGCGGATATCATGAGCAACGCTGGTAGTAAGCTGTGAGAGGACTAGGGATACTAAGCGGTGACATAGATGCTGAGCGTACCATCTTCGATGAGAATGTCAACATATGTCGGCCTTGCATGTATTGGGATTTGATCAAGGTAGACGTCTTCCCGTGAGATAATAGCTGCTGACCTGTGAGAACATCATTGACACCACCCAATCATCGTGCCAAACCATGTACCGTATTCCGGCGTTCGAAACCCTAGGAAGACGCATCATCGATACTGATATGATATTGATGCACTAAGAGATTGGTCAGAGCATGCCCTGTTCCTCTTTTTCAATTGCCTTACTGACAGAAACAACGGCGATAAAGGTCACTTGAGAGAGGCTAAATGTCGTTCCAGATTTGGAATCGATCATAGGGAGGATGCTGCCGAGAGCGGTCCTCATACCAGTGCGCAGTTCAGCAAGATGAATACACAAGGCGCTAGATATGAGTCAAACTCAAGCCTATCTTAGTACGAGCACGCACCAGGTTGAACAAGATATCCAATTGCCGTGCACCACACCCATACTCCGGCTTGTTGACGATGGCGCCACAGTCAGTGATGGTACCTAATCTGGACCAAGACCTGTAAACGTGATGAGCACCTCGTTAAATGAGGAATCGGTGTCCATGGACGATCTCCGGATTTGGATTTGACAGAGGAGGAGGAGGACAAGCAAAGAGTCGTCCATCTGCGGAAAAGTGAGCCTATTGAACACTTGTATGCAAATTGTGCGCACTAAATCCATGAACGAGGTCAGTTTCCCTGGCTGGAAGGCGGAAGTCACGCCTGTTGAACGGGTCAGACTGGAATATCAGTGGGGGAAGAACAGAAAGGTCGTAGATCGAGAGGAGAGTAGGAGCGGCCTGGTTTAGGAAGCGACACGCGAACTGAAATGTCCGCGCCACCCGTGAAAGACGCATATGATCAACTTGAAGAGGTCGGTAGATGTCTCGCGTGCACATGGTCGTGCTGAAAGATCGACGACGGCGTCGTGAGACTGTGTCCACAAAGCCCACTTGAACGATTCGATGCTTCAACGTGAAGGGATAAAGAACTCACGTAGGCATACACAAGCAACGGACTTCCTCCTTGGCGTAGTCCAGTGGAAGTGGAAATATCTATGACTGGTCGTGCGATGGAGGTGACCGAGAGTCCTCTGTATGTGATAGACTAGCCAAAGCGGTGACCACAGGTTGGAATAGCAGCTAATGTCTAGGAACGCATCAGGATAGGTATAAGTGGAGCAGGATAGAGACAAAGCGTAATGTCCACGAGGATGAAGACACTGAACGCAAAAGCGTAGGCCGCTTGGTTCGTAGTCGCAGCACCTGTGACAAGGACGTCAACGATAGAAAGCGGAACAGGGGCTCCATGAACCGAAGCATGCAACGCTGTCAGATGCTCAGATGTAAGGCGAAGCACTCACACGGCCAGCGTCATCCTCAGATGTGTGGGGTTGGAGCAAGAATAGTTCCTGCTCAGGTTCGGTCGTTGCCCCGGAGGGCATACTAGTGGTATGATTGATATGAGTATGTGAGTTAGGATGGCAGGGTGGGATGCGAGAGTGCCTACGACTAATTGAGCATGAAGGTATTGGTGTGCCTGAGTCGATGTAGGCATGGATGTAGGAGTCAGTGTCCAGGACCTCGCCGGGTCGCGAGGTGTGCCGAGCAAAACACTCCGGAGTAGCGTGAGAAACTGGTATATATAGGGAGGTCGAGGCGCATATAGGGAGGTCGAGGCGCATATAGGAAGGTCGAGGCGCATATAGGGAGGTTGGGGCACATATAAAAGGGACGAGCCGCTATAAATGGTGATCTAGAAGGCTGCGAGGAAGAAGCAGAGCTTCTACACCCGTATTCGTTGATTCGGAGAAACAATATCACCGAGAGTCGTCTCGCATTCGAGGTGGGGTCTGGTGACGACGTGGCGAGTGCACGGCGAGGACTCAGCGAGGAAGGAATGATTGTCAGGAATGAGCGACAGACTAACTCGGCTGGACACCTGTGACGCACCTATGAAGTTCATCATGCTCATAGCCGGGATAGGGATGGTAGCAGCCTGTCAGAGGATTAGGTGCACTTAGCAGTACGGTAAATGTCAGGCGCAGCATATGCAACGATAACAGCAATACCCCTCGACCAGACTCGTGTCCGGCAGGATTTGATCAAGGTCGGCGTCTTCTATGATATGATAACTGACCTATGGGATGATCATCGATACTAAACAACGCTGCAAAATGTGCATGAGCCGTGTCACGTGACAAATGCAAAGAGAGGGACCGTGTATATGCCACTCGCATATATCGTACGGGAGGACGAGTGACGGTCAACCTGTATTAAGGCCTCGTCCGGAGGGGATACCGTGGGTGCGTCATAAAAAAGATAATATGAGCTACGCAGGTCACTGTGGGGGAGAAGATGCAAACGAATGAAAGAGTTGGTGGCCGTTGAGGTTTGCGAGGGCCTAACATGGATGTAGATGAAGAGACGAAGAGGGGAGGATAGTTGAGGTGGTCTGTCTTCATTCGTTGTTCTGCAGGGAACACCAGGAAGCATCATCGATTAGATCATGATGTGAAGACGGGAAGGAAGGATAAGGCGTACCATTACTAGAGCTCGGGGGAGAAGGTCGGCCGTAGGAGGCTGGCGAGGGGTGTGGACGCATACGTCAGGACCAGCCCACGTCCCCTGGCGTGGAAGGAGAGGGGCTACCGCTGCATCTACGAGGGAGAAGCATACACGAATGATGAGAATAGGAGCGGAGTAGGGGAGTGGATGGAGTGCGCAGCAGTTGCCGGGATCGAGTGTCGGTTCACCTTCCTGTAACAGGCAGGTGAGCAATAAAGTGCCGAACGACCGACCTTCCAGGAGAAGTTACTGTTAGAGGCAAGTGACAGCCGTACTGATCGACATCCAGCACGCCCCAGATCGCAACACAAAGCTCATGTCAAGAGACGAGGCCCGTATCCGTGCTTGCGATGGTACCAACCTGTGTGAGGATTAGCGACAGAAATTCAAATGCGAGTGAGAGGGACGTGGGTATAAACGGAGGGAAGGTCCTGCTCGTCCGATGCATGGATTGGGGCGTATTCGCGGCCTGGATGTTGTCGATCTCTAGGAACGCGCCAGAAGATGAATCGCATGAATAGGACAGAAACAGAACCATACCCCCAAAGAAAGATGCACACGCCCAACGCGATTGCCTAGAGCGCGTTGTCCGAACTGCTGCGGCAGGTAGCACGCATATCGGCCATAAAAAGCCTAAGAGAGATTCTATAAGACGAATCAAGCAACCCTGTGAGGCTCAAACGTAAGGGGGGAAAGCACTCACACAGCCAGGCTCACGCTCAGGTGCGTCAGGTGCGTGGGGCTGAAGCAAGAATAGTTCCTGTTCAGATTCTTTCGTTGTTCCGGACGGCATACTAACCTAACCGCATGGTTGATATAAGTATGTGAGTTAGGATAGCAGGGTGGGATGCGAGAGTGCTGACGATTGAGCATCAAGAAGTTGCTGTGCCTGAAGCCATGCAGGCATGGATGTAGGAGTCGGTGTCCAGGACGGAAAACGCTTTGGAGTAGCGTAAGAAACTGTCCATAAAAGGGAGTTGAGGCGCATATAGGGCGGTTGAAAGGGCCACCAGCAAGATGCAGAGCTCCTAGACAAGTATCCGTCAATTGAGACACAATACCACTGAGAGTCGTCTCGCATTCGTAGGTGCAGTCGGGTCGAGATGCGACGAATGCACGGCTAGGACTCGAGGACAAGATGGCTGTTGGAAATGAGTGGTATATTGACTCGGCTGGACACCTGTGACGCACGTGAAGTATGAAAGAGATGATGCTAATAGCCAAGGAGAGGGATGTTAGCAACCCGTCAGAGGATTAGGGGCACTAAGCAGTGCTGCAAATGGGGAGCGCACCGTATGCAACGAAAACATCAGTACCTGTCGACCATGCTTGTATGAGGATGCAATTGACGTCTTCTCATGAGATAGTAGCTGACCTGCGAGATGATCATCAACACTAAACAACGCTGCAAAATGTGCATGAACCGTGTCACGTGAAAAGTGCAAAGAGAGGGAGCGAATATACCCCTGCCAGCATATGTCGTATGGGTGAACGAATTGAGTGTCAGCCTGCCTTGAACCTTTGTCCGGAGGGGACTGGCGGTCGTTGAGGTTAGCGAGGAGCTCATATGGGATAGAGAGCAGGAGATGAATAGTGGCATAATTGGGTTTGCGAGACGTAGGCAGATGGTCGAGGTGGTGTATCTTCATTCGCTGTTCTGTGGGAGATAATAAGTAGCATCATCGACGAGATCTGCCACGAAAGAATGTGATAGAAGGGTGTTGCCTACCCTTGCTAGAGCTCCGGGGAAGAGGTCGCTGGTAGGAGGAGGACTGCAGCTCACGTCCCTTGCCATCGAAGGAGGGGAGCCGTCTTTGTCTCTACGAGGGATGTAGCATGTATGATTGATGAGAATGGGAGCGGAGTAGGGGAGTGGATGGAGTGCGCAGCAGTCCTGAGTACCGAGGAGGAAGAGGCGGTAGTTTGGGGAAGAGTAAGTTGAAAGCTCCATCGGGGGGGACGGGGGGGGGGTTAATAAGGCTTTCTAGACGCGCTCTGATCGAGGGAAGTCAACAAACGCTTCGATCTCAGACAGTAAACAGCGCATTCGATACTGGGCAGGCATACGGTATGG